GAAGATACTTTTATAGTTGGTGCCTCCAAATTACTTTAAGCTGCTTTGATGCTTCAGAGACTACCATCTCTTCATTCCTCAACCACTAATTGACAACATTATTGGAGATTATTCCACAAACTAAACCAGGACCCTATAATGTGATATATTTGTTGTAACAGGATTGTCCTATTCTATCTGATTTTATATGTGTCACTTTTAAAATTTTCAAAAGATACTATCTTTTAAAATGTTTTTAATTTACAATTTAAAATGATGTCTACTTTTTTGCTTCATGCAGGAACAGAGTTTGAGGGTGCTGTGATTGCACTATTTCATCTTCTGGCTACACGAACCGACAAAGTCCGTGCTTTGCGGGAGGCTTTTTACCGACAGAATTTGCCCAATCTCATGAATCTGATTGCTACAGTATTTGTATTTGCTGTAGTCATATATTTTCAGGTAAAGCGAGAAATTCCTCATAGTAGCTCTGCAGAAATTCCCAATAGTAGCTCTGCAGCTGCGTAGGTAGAAGTGTGTGAGCCCTAGACACTGCAGTCACTGGGGAAAAAATTCAGCAGTTAAACTAGAGTAACTGAAGTACCTTAGCTTTGAGTAAGGAACTCTATCTCAATATTTTTATTTCAGTAACATACCTCTGTGACAGCACAGCTGTTAAATTTTATAGCCAGACATACTTGTACTCAGACAGCGATGTAATCTCACATTCTATTAAATGCCATACACCCTATGAGAGTATTTTTACTAAAAATGGATTCTGGAACTGCAGTGGTTGTATCACACAAATAATATACTTGATATTCATAATTGACTTCAAAGAACACTTCTGAGTCAGAGTGCTGGCAAAAAACCGAATTCTCTGGTTTTCAAATCCATGTGGCTTTTCTTGGGTCTACTCGGATAGGAGCCTGCCCCAGAAAACAGAAGGCTGGGCTTATTACACACAACTCTGCTGTTAACTGGCTAGTGAAGTTAAAAGCCATTAAAGGCTTTTATCAAACCCTATTCTTTAAAGTGTATTTTTACAGGTAAATAAAGTGTAATTTAGTAGATGAGAGAGAATGTTTATCTAAAAAGAATGTAATGCACCCAAGCAGGAACACTTAGAAATCCTTAAAATTTGTAATCCAGACTACAGCAGAAAGCCTTTGGGTTTTACTGTCTCAGACCTTGTGCTCTGCATTTATCTGGCAAGAACTCTATAGTCAGGAATAGCTTTTAGGCATACTAGGAATACCTTCTAGCTTGGAAATAAACTCAGTTCATTTGTGTTCCTTCCCATAGGGATTCCGTGTTGATTTACCTATCAAGTCTGCACGATATCGTGGACAGTACAGTAGTTATCCTATCAAGCTTTTTTACACCTCCAACATTCCCATCATTCTGCAGTCTGCCTTAGTTTCCAACCTCTACGTTATTTCCCAGATGTTGTCTGTTCGTTTTAGTGGCAACTTCTTGGTGAACTTATTAGGACAGTGGGCAGTAAGTATTTTAGCACTTTTTTAACTACATACAATTATATGTATATATTACTTCATTGTAAAACTTTGGTATTTAACCAGCAGAAAACTGGAATGCTTACTTTTTAACATTTGTATATAAAATCTGTTTTAAACATCGAAGAGGAATTCCTCTATAAATACAGGACAGGAATGTGAGAGATGTGTGAGAAATAACTAATTGGCCTTTTCTTCCCCTCTCATAGGATGTCAGTGGCGGTGGCCCTGCTCGCTCTTACCCTGTTGGTGGCCTGTGCTACTACTTGTCCCCTCCAGAATCCATGGGTGCAATATTTGAGGATCCTGTCCATGTCATAGTTTATATAATATTTATGTTGGGATCCTGCGCATTCTTCTCAAAGACTTGGATCGAGGTGTCTGGGTCGTCAGCGAAAGATGTAGGTGTTCTGATAAACGTGCCTAAATGTTTTCAGACACTAATTTAGAACTGACTAACTACTAACTGATCGGTTATTACTCTAACTAAATATCAGGTGACTATGAAACACCACAGGAGTTTAAAAAAATTGTGGGTTTTGCAGGTTGCCAAGCAACTCAAAGAACAGCAAATGGTGATGAGAGGCCACCGGGATACTTCAATGGTTCACGAGCTGAACAGGTAAGGAAGTGCCATCTTCCAGCAGTACTGCTGTACTGGGTGGTTAAGAGTGCTGGGGAGGTGTCGACTAGATATTCTTGGAGTATCTTGGAATTCTGTTTCCCCTGCAAATGTCAAGATTCTTCCCATTCATTCAGCTGTCACCTTTCCTAGTAATGCAGATGCTGTTTACAGCAGTAGGTAAGAGATTAACTCACAGTGTCTTTTAAGTGGCATAATGAGGGAATTTGGGTTGAATCTCTTCCATGTTTGTAAAAGGAAAATACCTTGATTTTTACAGGTGTTTAATTTACCATTACTGAACTAAGATGACACTACAAAAGCGGTATTTTATGCAGTATTGCAAAACCTGCAGATCTATATTGAAAGGTAGACTTATCCCTACATACTTAAGTCAAAGCAGTTATTCTTGGTCCTGTGGAAGTTAGATAGCATGCACATATATAAAATTGTTATACTTTAAATTGAAAAGCTTTGCCAGTGTTCAGTTATTCACACAGCTTTCATATCCGTGAATGTTTATTTTAGTTTCTACTTTGTGCAAACACAGAAGATAGTACAAGCTAATGGCAGACCTGCATTTGCAATGCTAAATTTGTTGCTCAGTATTCTAGTTTTTTTGGTTTAGTAGTAGATGTATTGTTAGAATCCTTGGATGAAAATTCATGATTATGAATACTTTTTTTTTGTGTGTTGTTGTTGGTACAGGTATATCCCTACAGCAGCTGCCTTTGGTGGTTTGTGCATTGGTGCCCTTTCAGTATTGGCTGACTTTCTAGGAGCCATTGGGTCAGGCACTGGCATTCTGCTTGCAGTCACTATTATTTATCAGTACTTTGAAATATTCGTAAAAGAACAGGCTGAAGTTGGAGGAGTAGGTGCATTATTTTTCTAGATGTCCAAATATTTCATGGTTTGTGTGAAAGGGAAAGTATTTTGACAACATGCATCATTTAGTCCAATAATGCTATTTTCTTTTTGTTTTAAAAAGTGCTACATGTCCCATTACTGTAATGGGCATTGAGCAATGCCTGTGTGCAGCATTAGTACCAGCTGCCTTAAGAATAAAGTTTACATTATCTTGTTTAAGTATTATCTAGTGTTGCCTGTAATGCTGGAAACCAATTCATCTACCTTGCTGTTCAAACACTACAGTGAGATGGTAAAATGTATCAGTTTGATATCGGTAAACGTTTTTGCACACAGCATTAAAATGTTAAATTTATTTCCCTGTCCTTAATAGGAAAAAAAAAAAAAAATCTGAGTTCAGATTGCTACGTGCCAGTATTCTTGACAAAATTTATTTGTAGCCTTATTTTACATTAATTTTTTTATACTTTTTTAACTTGCATTTCCCCATCATTGAACTCAGCACTGCTTATTCCTCTGTGGTGTCTCCACCCAGGCACCCTTCTCTTAGCTGTAAGGGTGGACAAGCAAACATTTTACCGGAGACTGATACTCATCTCACCTGTGAACTGGTTCTGTGGTGGATTTGCTGCATCGCTGGGCCTGGGGCAGTTTGGTTTCGTGTCCTGGGTGTCCTGTGACACAGCGTGGTAGCTGCTGTCATGCTAGCAAGTCAGCCCAGTAGTTTTGTTTAACCATGTACTTGTGAAAACTGTGCCACTGAAACTTCATGTCCACTTTGCTTTTGTGAGTCTAAAGGATGAGGCCTGGTTCCTAAAGCAGTGTTCATGGAAGGGAAAGGGGGGG